TATTTAAAAATTAATAACATTGGTTGCTCCCAGGGAGTGGGGGAATTTTCCCTGTGTACTCTTTGTACCTTCCAACTTACAAACCGCGGGAACTTATTACCTAAGTATATGTTTCATGAATTGTAAATGATGAATGCAGGTAAAGGTTGCATAGTGGTTATTGCTACAAATAACAAGTGATGATAAAAGTAGAGTCCCAAACAAGGGAAAGAAGGTTAAAAGATTAAGTATTACTGGAGTAAAAGTTAAGCAAATGAGGGTACACACTCAATTCTTTTAGTGTGTTTTATCAACTCCACACAACAACCACTGTTAGATAATTTTATGTACAACTAAGAAAGAAGACATGTTGGTGACTTAACCTCAATGCTTTCTTTAAATTTAAATTTTATTTAAAATTTAACCTGGCTGGGGATTTAGCTCAGTGGTTCTGCTGCCTGCTTTGCAAATGCAAAGTCCTGAGTTTGATCCCTGGTACCAAAAAAAAAAAAAGTAAAATTTATCCTCATTGAAATAACTCTTTTAGACTCATTTGGACATGCCTGGTTTTTTAAAATCAAGAATCACTCAGGGCCAGGGATTTAGGTCAGTGGAACCACACCTACCTCACAAGCGAAAGGTCCTGAGTTTGATCCCTCATACAGGAAAAAAAAAAAAAAAATCACTCATATATGCCAGAAAAGAAAAGAGGAAAATATGGAAAATAAATAAATTGATTTGTTCAGGTATTCCTAAAACTTCTTCACATTCAGAGCTGGACACTGAGTCACTGAGGTCTACACAGAACCACTTTGTGCCTTCAGGGAATGGTGACACAGCCATTGCAGGAGTCCTCCGCTGCTGTTTCTGGAGTTTCTTTCCAAGCACTGACATCTGCAAAACCCCAGGGTACATAATCTCAGCAAGTATCCTCACAAGGAGGAGGGGCCCTCAAAGGCAGGGCTTCGGGAAGGTGATTAGATTATGGGGTTAGCTGACTTGCTGTTGGAAGGTGTGGCGTGGTCAGAAGAAATGAGTCACTGAGGGCATGACCTGGATGGATGTATCATACACTGCTTCCCCACCACCATCACAATTTGAGCAGTTTCTCTGCTTTGTCTTCTGCCACACTATGCTGCCTTACAGCCAGACAATCCTGGACTAAAAATGAGAGCCAAAATAAACTACTACCCCTTTAAATGTGGGTGTTGGGTATTGTGTCTCAGTGATGAAAAAGTGACTGAGACAGATTTTGGTACAGGAAGTGGCTCTGCTGCTGCGCCTATCCAACCATTTTGGTTCCAAAGTCTTTGGAAATGGTTCATGGGAGGAGCTTGGAAAGGTTTGGAGATGCTGGCTGGAGAAGCCCTACACTGCTGTAAACTGAGCATGATGGGAGAGGTCAGAAGACCAGAACGTGGACAAAAAACAGACTGTGAAGACCAGGATCAGGAGGTTTCAGGTGGTAACAAGGACTCCAGTGGCAGCTGGACTCCAGGCCATGTGTATTATGCTCTGCAGAAAATTTGTCTACATTTTTCCCATGTCCCGAGACTTTGAGGGGAATTCAAATGAAGGGCAGTAGATTCATTTATCTTAGCAGAGGAAATTTCAAGAGAGCCCAAAATTCAGGTTGTGGCATAGGTACTGTTGTGGGCATTTAGCCAGATCTACTTTGAGTAACAAGAGCAAATGGAGGCCAGGGATTTAGCTCAGTGGTTCTGCCACCTGCCTTGCAAGTGCAAGGACCTGAGAGAGAGAGAGAGAGAGACAGAGACAGAGAGACAGAGACAGAGAGAACGGGCAACTTCTGGGAAGATGGCGGAGTGGTGAGGAGCAGAGTGGTAAGCAGCAGAGAAAGGCCTGAGTTTTGGTGTCCTTACACTGAAATATAGCAGTACAAGAAGGAAGAGGAAAGTGGGTCCTTGGGACCCAGGAAGGATCAGAGTCGAGAACTGATGTCTACTGGGAGAGTGAAGAGAGAGACTTTAATGAAGAGGAGGGAGGTACCAAACAGTGCTCTCTCCCAAAGCCCAGGACTGCAGATGCACAGTGACTACTGATAACGGGACACCTCCACAGAGAAATGCATCAATGGAATGAAGCAGTGGATGAATTGCATGCAGCAGTTGGTGAGTTATCCAGATTCAGGCCTTACCCAGGAGAGGGTGATTGGCTGGTAGCCATCTTGGAGAGGGGCCAACTGAGCTTGGAACTCAGAGCAGCTGCAGGTAGACTCCATCTAGTGGTTTCCAGTGCCTCCATGTAGGTGCTGAGTTCAAGACAGCAGGAGTTCAGGGAGTGTAGTTCAAGCCATCAGGAAACACATGGACTGTTGTAGGCTCAAAGAATCCGGTTCCAGTCTCATAGCCAGAAACCGGCCTGAACTTCAGAGGAACTAAAAGGGCAGGCCGGGCGAGGGATTTTGCTGCCTGCCTCCCAAGTGGAAAGTCCAGAGTTCAGTACCCAGTACAAAAAAAGTGGGGGAGCAGGCTGGCTGGGATTATCCACTTTCCCACTGTGGAGCTGCAGCTGGCTTGCTGGGATTAATCAACTTGACTCTGTCTGCCCACACTGCCTAACAGTGACAGCAGGGACACAACTTGAACTGGACGTTTTTGGGTTTTTCATTTTTTTTCTGTTTTTCCTCCTTTCTGGATGTTATTTTGTTTCATTTTTTTCTCAATTGTTTGAACACAGTTTCTAGGGTTATTTTGTTCTTCTGTTCTTGTTTTTATTTTTTCCTTTTCTCTTTCCTGTCTTCATCAGTTTCCTAAAGTTTGTCCTCCAGCCTTGTTCCTGACCTCTTCCTCTTCTTCTGTTTCTTACCCAACCCCTATTAAATCTTTTCCCGTAAGGGTATAAAAGCTATATTGGGCCAGGGATTTAGCTCAGTGGTTCCACTGCCTGCCTCGCAAGCACAAGGTCCTTAGTTCAATCCCTGGTAGGAAAAAGCCATATTAAAGGCTACAATTTGTCATTTTCTAGGCTGTATTTGATGCTATTGTCATTGTTGATTATACTGCTTTAGCCAAGGCGACATAATTGTGCTAATCAGCTGTTCCTCCTGGTATACCAAGACTGAGATTGCCTAAGCGTCTTAAAAAAAAAAACCTATGGGCCAGTGCCAAAAAACTGGCAGCTGGGCCAAGTAGGCAGAAACTTCTCATCTCCAATAAACTGCAGAGGCAGAATCCTGCAACAGACTCAAAACCCAAAAGCTAGCTATACCTGGAAGATGCTTCTGAGAAGTAGTCATTTCATAAGGGTTCTGAATACTAGAGATAAAGCTACTCACCACAAGCAATTTACAAGCATCAACTCAGGAATCAAACCTCAAAAAAAGGGAAAAAAGAAAAAGAAAAGAAAATGAGAAGACACTTAAACAAGATGCAACCCCCACAGACTTTCAGTTCACCAAAGGCAAACCCCAGGGCCAATGCCATGGAACAGTCTGAAAGCCACCCACCTGGATTCTCTGAAGCAGTAAGAGCAGAAGTAACAGGTGATCAGGTGAACAGGCCCTAGAAAAAAATCAAAGCAAAAATAATTTCCCAGATAACTCCAAAGAGGGTTACCAGAATGAAAGATACAGATAAAAAAAATAGTGGAGCTCAGGAACATGATGGAAGCCATGAATGCCCAGCACAGGAAAGAAATGGAATCCATGAAACAGATTCAAACAGATATCCAGGAGATTAAAAGCTCCATTGAAAGTGGAGCAAAATGAACTAACATGAGAACAGAGTATCAGATACAGAAGACAGGTTTGCAGTTAGCAATGAGAAAAAGAGAGATTTCTTAAAAATAGCAAGGGACCATAAGAAATCAATTCAGCAGCTAGATGATGCAAAGAAGAATAACGTAAGATTGACTGGAGTCAATGAAAAAGCAGGAGACAGCATAAATGATAGAAAAAGAAAAAAATTTGTTCTCAGAAGTAATGGCAAAAAACTTCCCAAACAGGGAAAAGGAATCTGGCATACAGATAAGTGAGGTGTACAGAACTCCAATTAGCCATGGTCAATAAAAGTTTTTCCCAAGGCATATAACAAACAGTGAAGATTACAGAAATTCAACAGAAGGACATATCTTTAAAAGCCGTTAGAGGGCCAGGGATCTAGCTCAGTGGTGCCACCACCTGCCTAACAAGTGTAAGGTCCTGAGTTCGTACCCCTCCCACCAAAGCCGTTAGAGAAAAGAAACAAATCACCTCTAAAGGAAAACCAATCAGAATCACAGCAGACCTCTCAACACAAACTCTCAAGTCAAGGAGAGCTTGGAGTGAAATATTTCAAGCCCTAAAGGAAAACAACCTCCAACCCAGATTGATGTACCCTGCAAAAATATCCTTCAAAATTGATGAAATAAAATATTTACATGACAAAGAACATCTGAAAAAATTTATGACCACTAAACAAGCACTACAAAATGTTCTGAAAGATATTCTAGAAAGAGACAATAAGAATCACAACTCCGTGAACCCAAACAGAATGAATCCATGCAGCAAGGCAAGAAATTAAACAGAAAAGGAAAGAAGGAAGCCAACAGCAGGAAAATAATATGACAGAGATAAGACAGTACATATCAGTTATAACCAATGTTAATGATCTCAATTCACCAATCAAAAGAAACAGACTGTCAAGAAGCAAGATCCAACAATATGCTACATATACAAAACACATTTATTTATTTATTTTGGTTTTTTGGTTTTTTGAGATAGGGTCTCACTATGTAGTTGAGACTGACCTGGAACTCACTATGTAGCCCAGGCTGGTCTCAAACTCTCAGCGATCCACCGCCTCAGCCTCCCAAATGCTGGGATTACAGGTGTGTGCCACCACGCCCAGCACAAGAAACACATTTAATTGAAAAACATTCACAGACTGAAAGTCAAAGGATGGAAAACAATAATCCATGTGACAGTAAACCAGAAAAAAGCAGGGGTAGCTATTCTATTGCAGACAAAGTGGATTTCAAGCGAAGACTGATTAAGAAAGATGAAGAAGGTCACTACATCCTGGTAAAGGGAACAATCCAAGAGGAAGAGATAACAATCCTAAATATATATGCACCAAATAGCAGTGCACCTATCTACATAAAACAAATATTAACAGACATGAAAAATCATATAAGCACTAATACAGTTGTAATGCGGGACCTCAATACCCTACTGTCACACATAGACAGATCAACCAGAACCCCCCAAAAAAATCAACATTATAATTTGACCAAACTTTTGAATAAATGGACTTAGTAGATGTCTACAGAGTATTCTACCCCATAACATCAGAATACACTTTCTTCTCAGCTGCACATGGAACCTTCTCCAAAACAGACCATATGCTAGCTCACAGAACATGCTTAAGTAAATCTAAAGGAACTGAAACAGTCTCATGCATATTGTCAGACCATAGTGCAATGAAATCGGAAATCAACAGCAAAAGAAATAACAAGAACTTCATAAACACATGAAAATCAAATAACACCCTCCTGAACAACCAATGGGTCACAGATGAAATTAAAGAAGAAATCAGACAATTTCTACAGTTAAATGATAATGACAATACAACATACCAGAACTTATGGGATGCAATGAAAGCAGTCCAACAAGAGAAATTTATAGCAGTGAATTCCCATATCAGGAAAACAGAGTGGGTTCAAATAAACAACCTTTATTCAACTTCTAGAAAAAGAAAAACAAGTCAAGACCAAAGCTCATATGGGGGAAGAAATTATAAAAATCATAGCAGAAATTAATGCAATGGAGACTAAGAAAATAATACAAAGAATCAATGAATGGAACAGTTGGTTCTTTGAAAGATTAAATAAAATCAACAAACCCTTAGCCAACCTTATCAAAAAAAGGAAAGAGGGACTGGGGATTTAGCTCAGTGGCACTGTGTCTGCCTTGCAAGTGCAAGGTTCCCCTGGTACAGAAAAAAAAAAAAAAGAAAGAAAGAAAGAAAGGGGGCCAGGGATTTAGCTTAGTGGTTCTGCCACCTGCCTCGAAAGTGCAAGTTCTGAAGTTTGATCCCTGGTAACAAACAAACAAACAAATAAGAAAGGGAAGATTCAAATCCAAGCAAATAGAAATGAAAAGGGTGAAATCACTACAGATCCTTCAGAGATCCAAAAGATCATCAATATCTACTTCGAGAACCTGTATTCTAATAAGATGGAAAATACAGAAGAAATGGACAGATTCCTAGATACATATGAATTACCAAAACTGAATCAAGAAGACATAGAAATTCTAAATAAACCAGTATCAGCCAATGAAAGTGAATATGTAATTTATTTATTGATTGATCTTTTTTCTTATGTAGCCCAGGCTGGTCTTGAACTCACTCACAATCCTCCTACCTCAGCCTCCCAAGTGCTGGGATTACAGGCATGTGCCACCATGTCCAGCTGACTATGTAATTTAAAAACTACCAATAAAGAAAAGCCCTGGCCGGGGATTTAGCTCAGTGGTTCTGGTGCCTGCCTTGCAAGCACAAGGAACCAAGTTCGATCCCCAGTACCAAAAAAAATGAAAGAAAGAAAAGCCCTAGCCCTGATGGATCCTGATGGATTCACTGCTGAATTCTACAAGAAATTTAGAGAAGACCTGATGCCGCTACTCCTCAAACTCTTTACTTAAATTGAAAGAGAAGCAATATTCCCAAATTCATTCCTGGAAGCATTACCCTGATTCTAAAACCAGAGAAGGATCCAACCAAAAAGAAGAATTACAGGCTCATCTCCTTAATGAATATAGATGCAAATATCCTCAATAAGATACTGGCAAACAGAATGCAGCAAATCATCAAGGTTATACACCATGATCAAGTTGCATTTATCCCAGGGATACAGGGATGGTTCAACATACGCAAATCAATAAATGTAATACACTATATTAACAGTGGTGGTGGGGAGCAAATGGCACACTTGAGTGATATAAAATATTTTAAGTTTCACCAGAAAGGAAGCTCTTATAAAACAGAACCCTATAAATTTATAGTAGAGGAGAGCTTGTTTGCTAAAAAGACTAGTATGGGGCCAGGCTTGGTGGTGCACACCTGTGTTCCCAGCACTCCAGTGGCTGAGGCAGGAAGATTGCTGTGAGTTTGAGCCCAGTGTGGACTACTTAGTAAGTTCAAGGCCACCCTGAACTATATATGGAGACCTTTTCTTAAAAAATAAAAAGAAGCCAATTTTTAAAGAGCCAATTACTTTGCCTCAGAATAATACAGAAAATGCCTCAAGGGCATGGGAGGAATCCAAAAGACCCATCCTTCGCAGGCTAAAAGGTAGAAAAGTAGAAGTCTTTGCTTTAAGAAGAGAGCCCCTGAAACCGGGCGTTGTGGCACATGCCTGTAATCCCAGCACTCCGGAGGCTGCGGCAGGAGGATTGCTGTGAGTTCAAGACCAGCCTGGACAACACAATGAGTTCCAGGTCAATCTCAACTACATAGTGAGACCCTATCTCAAAAAACAAAAAACAAACAAACAAAAAAAGGAGAGCCCCTGGGCCAGGGATATAGCTCAGCATTACAGTGTATGCCTGCCTGGCAAGTGTAAGGTCCTCAGTTAGATTCCCAGTATGAAGGGGGAATAAAAAGGAGAGCAAGAGATCCTGGACACCCTGATTCAGAAAGGTTATATAGGAAATTGGCTTCCGGGATTCTATTCACAGTGCTCAGCCTCCAGGTACCTGCTTGCCCTTGGGTTTGATCTGTGGTACAAAAAGAATAAAAAACAGTACCCCAACTTAGGAAATGTAAAAATGTTCATCTTGAAGTATGTAAAATATGGTATGATTACAGACAATAATATTAATATAGATATGGTATTAATATAGATAATAGGTAAGTTAATTAGATATCTTGTAGACAGGGACCTCCTCAAGGCCTCAGTCCTCAAGGTGTCAGCCCTCCAGGAGCCAACACAGAAAGGAGCCAACGTGGAGAAACACTGAGGCACATTTGCTGGTTCCATCAAGATTACTGGACAGAGCTGTTAAAGTTTCAGAGATCCTGCCATGGATTCATCACTCTTGAATCAAGAAGGCCCATCACAATTGATAGAGCTCTCTACCAGACAAAATGGCCCCAACAGTCCTACATTCTAAAATAGCTCCTGTTCCTAAAATGGTTCCCGCTTATGGAAATGAGCCATTTGGGGTGGGGGGAGTGAAACCTAGCCCCTCTGGAGAAGCAAAACCTAACTTATTGCTCCACCCTGCTACCCACGTGATCCTCCCCCTTCCACATCATCCGGGGTCCAGCTGCTCAACTCTCATAGTACTTTCCCCAATGCACCGCACTATATAAACTTCACCCCAGTTAGTCTTGCTCTTTCATCATTGTTCAAGGTAGCCCAGCAGCTTCCTCCCAATAAAGCCTTGCCTCGTGTGCTCCTGTTTCAGCTCATTTTCTTTCAACCATGACTCCTGAGAGGCCCACACTGAGGAGACAACTCCCTTAAAGATCACCCTGAGGAGACAACACACTCAAAGCCCTGCTTCTGTCACTCCAGCCACTGACAGGCCAACACAGGGCTGAAGCCTGAGGACCTCAACCCATGAGCCATTGCCATGCTTTCCAGACCTGGTCTTTCCCTGACACCTTTATTGACAACCTCATAGTGACTGCCTTTATTCTTGACATAGGCTTAATAACTGTTACTCCAGAGGATTGGAATATTTTCTAAAGACGTTGCCTCTTAGCTATATGTTGGGGTTTTATGCTGACGTTTTCTATTCTATCTTGTTTAGATTGATTCAGAAAAACCTGACACTGGTAGTGTCCTACGTGACTGGAAAATGTGGATAGGTGCTTTATTAGGACCTCTCTTTGGTATCCTCATGTTATTAACAATCACTCTGTGCTTTATAAATTGGTTCATACGCTTTATTTCTCAATGCCTTAACTCCATTAAGATCCAAGAATCATACCAAATGATGGTAACTTCAAGGTCTGATGCTTACACTTACTCGTGTAAAAACACAGACCAGCAAACAAGTTGAAGATTCAACTGTAATAAAAAAAGAGGTGGAAATGAACAGAGAAATGATTTCTGACCAGAAGGCGCCTATGCTGCAGCTAACCAGGTAGTAAACAAAAGGCTCCTCCTAGCTCTGACCCCTCCTGCACCTAAAACATGTCTGGCATGTCTGAGTGAGACCTGGACGTGTTTTCCTCCACTGTCTTTTGTTCTCAGTAGGGTTTCTGTGACCCCTGCTTCCCTCCATATATAAATAAGATGAATCCTAGTGTACCTTTCTATCCAATTGTTTAAGCGGACTGTATCTACCTCAACCAATGAACTAATGTTGAATGTCTTGCCACTGCATCACCCCTCCTTTCCCAAATCTACATAAACCTTGTTCACCCCCAAAACGGTACTGATCACTTTGTGAAGAAGTCCCTAGGCAATCTGCTAGCGAAACAAACCTGCCTCCAAATTCCAGGGTGTGTACTTGATTCTTCTCCGCCTGACTCTTTTATACTACCTAGAGCTACAACACTGCCAGTTATATTTGCTACAATAGTATAAATATTAGTATAATATTTATAATATAGCAGAAATAGTATACTTTCCCGACTGTCTAAGCTTGTGTTTTTTCTTTTGGTTTTTTGAGACAGTACTAGAGACAGCTAAATTAGAAACATTATAGGCAGTCAGATAGGGCCAGGCCCTGAAAGAAGCCAGTATAGAACACAAGTAGTGGGATGGAGGCAGGATCTCTAAGACAGAGATGAAATGACTATGCCTACTTCCCCAGCGATAAACAATAATGACTGATATTCCAAATAGGCCTCAATCACCTGAGTGGAGGACGAAGTCATTGATGACCCATCCCTTCCAGGAAAGGTATTTGTTCTTTATGTGACTTGTTTCCCCACTGAATCAACGTCACCTAAGTGACTCCACCTGTAACCTTATTAGTTGACCATAGTTTTGACCCCCCTTATACCTACCTTATGATTTCGTACCCATCTCGTGATTTTGCTCTATAGAGCCTCCCCTGTAAGTGGAGTGCATGGCAACCCACTTTCCAGGTGACCTTCTGTATCATAGAAGCTATTTTACCCTCAATAAATATTTCCTAACCTTAATGCCCGTTGTTCCTAGAATTCATTCTTCAGTTTTAGAGAACACAAACTCGGCATATCTGACATCTAACAGGTTGGGAGTTATAATATTTCCCTTGTATCATTTGGAGGTCCTGTATGACCCCTAGATCAATAGGGTCTTGCTCTGCAGTTCAAGCTGGCCTTGAACTCCCTATGTAGCCCCTGCTGGTTTTCTAATCTGATCCTTGAATTTTAGAAAGACATAACATTGATCTCCTATATGGAAAAGAAAAACAAAGTAGTACTGATACTGTCGACATTACACCATGATAATAAGATTGATAGTGAAGCCAGGACTATAATCTCAGCACTCAGGAGGCTGAGTCAGGAGGATCACCACAAGATCAAGGCCAGCCTGGGCTACACAGTGAGTTCAAGGTCAGTCTGGAATAAGTAGGGAGACCCTGTCTCAAACAAAACCTTCTGATTCTTTATCTTAGGCAACACTACCACCATCTGCCAAGCAACTCGTCTTGTGAAACACCCTCTAGTCTTGGCAATCCACCTCTGCTGGGCTACCCACATACTGCCTGGTATCCATTTTATGATCGCTACTTGGGGGGAAGCCTTTGCCAGACATCAGGCTTTCACAAATGTGTGCCACTCTCCCTCTCCCACTCCCCAGCAGTGTCACAGCCAGAGAGATCTTTTACCAACACACACCGGAGCATGTTAACCTGCTTCAAAGTCCTAGGATGACAGATGATCCCTTTTGGGAAAATCATCTCTTTTTTGGAGACTATTTATAAAAAACAAAACTGAGTTATAACACTGGAAATGTCACTTAGTGATAGAGCACTTGCCTAGCAGGCCTGAGTCCCTGGGTTCAATCCCTCACACCTACAGGGGGGGAAAAAAAAGGTCATAGGGGCCAGGGATTTAGCTCAGGGGTTCCACCGCCTGCCTTGCAAGCAAAAGGCTCTGAATTCAATCCCCTGTACCAAAAAAATAACCAAAACAAAAACAAAAGCCTGTAATCCACCTGTGGCAATCAAACCTAATAATCTGAATTAAGGAGATGACTAAATTGGACAGGTACTTGTAGTCCAAACTACTCGGGAGGCTGAGGCAGGGGGATCTCTTGAGTCCAGGAGTTAGAGGCCAGCCTGGGTAACACAGGAAAACTCCTCAAAACACAAAACTCCTGCAAAGCAAGCTCACTGTACATCATCACTGCACTGCTCAGCACATCACTGTTTAATGAAAAATTTGGAATAAAAATGAGTTAACTCATATTTGACCACTTGTCATACATTTGTCAACCATGTTCTAAGCATGTATCGTCTCACTTAATTCTCAAGATAACTCTAACAAGGTAGCACAAGGCTATAATTCAGTGCCTCCTTGAGGTCCCACAGTGATTCTGTATTCTCTAAGCCTATAACCTAGGTTTATCTGACACCTTTTTTTTTTTTAACCACTCCAAGTAATCAGTACACAGGACACTGGGCGTGGACTTGTGGGATATTAAAAATTACGATTATAAATACTATTTCACAATGTGGAAAATGCTTATATTTAATGCTATGTGAAAGCGTGAGACAAAGTACAACATCATTATTCTTTTAAAATATACAAAAAAAAAGTACATGAAAAAGCCTGGAAGTAAATAAAAGATTAAATGATGAGGGGGCAGAACTGGAAATACTTTTTTCAACTGTGCAGCTTCTAAATTTTACTTTAACGAACTGAAAACTCCTATCACGCCTTCCTGTTACGTAAAGGACAAAAACCTGTTACCCCATCGCCCCCCCTTTCACGCCCCCCAGGATCAAGGAGAAGCCCCAGCCACGCAACCACCGTGCGAAGCGCAGCTCCAGGTCACCCGTGGGTGCGCACGTGACCCAGCCGCGTGACTCCGCCCATGTACACAGGGCACGCCCCGCGCACGCGCCGCTCCCTTAAAAGGCTGAGCACGCGGCGATTCCATCTGCCTCTCCGGTAGGTGTCGGTGAGCTGTGTCTCATCTCAGCCGCAGGTCATTTCATCCTGAGTGCTTGTCCGCGCTTGACACCCGAGGAATCAAGAGCGTGGGGCGGCCCCTTACCTTCTGGATTCGCTTCAGCGCCATCCTTCCGGTTTCTCGGGACCTCGCGGCCCGGCGGGGCTGCCCGCGGCGGCCCG